CTTTCACAAATTTTATAAATGTTTGTTTTCTTTGGACGTGTTTCATTGTTCAATCTAATTACGTAAGATAAAGTGGTGTTTCGCATTTCCAAATTCAAAATATCAAAACTGTACAGAAATTACTTACAAAATAATAGTCGAGTTTGTATGAGTGAATTTGATGTTCCAACAGAAAAAAATAAAATAAATTCTACAATGTAAATGTTTGATTTCTTTGAACGTGTCTCATTGCTAAATCTAATTACGTAAGTTAAAGTTCATATCACTGCTGGAGTAATTGAATTGACCAAAAAATCTATATATAAAAAAAACAATCCATTCAAAACAATTCGAAAGACGCGTTGCTTAACTTTAGTTAATAAATGTCAAAAAGCTGTCAACTGTCAAAAATTTAATTTCACATTTCTAAAATCAAAAATATGCTTTGAAACAAAATAAAATTGTTGTCCAAACAGAAAAAAATAAGTTTCACAAATTATATAAATTTGTTCAATATAATTACGTAAGATAAAGATCATAGCACTCCTGAAGTAATTGAATAAATAAAAAAAAATGTTTATATTACAAAACAGTGAATTCAAAGTAATCCGGCAAATGCGTTGTTTAACTTTAGTTATAAAACGTCAAATAAATAAACTGTCAACTGTCAATTTTTTTATATATCGCGATTCAAATTTTTAATTTAAAATTGATTAATAACTTTTTAATTCAAATTAAAATCTGTTCTCTTTTACATAAAATAAGTGTAAAAAATCAAACAAAAAGAAATGTACAGAAATAGCATACAAGATAAAAGTATTACGTGACTTTTACTCAACAAGTTGAATAATGATCAAAATGATTAGTATACAAAAAAAAAATAAGATTGCACAACAACAAACCGGTATGTTTTGCAATAAACTTTAAACTGCAACGCAAACAGAATTTGTTAATCAATCTTCAAAATATCTCTTCTTTTTCAAATGTTCACTATTTCTTCTTTAACAAATCAACAATTCAAAGTTTGTTTTCCAAATTTTCAAATCAATAATTGCAATAACTGTCTTATTAATTAATAATGAATACTTTTTCTAAATTTTTAAATAACCAATTTGTTTTCCACATTTTCAACAGTCTTTGATCATTTATTTTTTTTTGTAAATAAATTTTGAAAATATAAATTTTCTTCTTACAAACTGTCTTTTTCAAACGTTGACCATTCATTGACCTTTTGTTTTTAATAAAACATACCAAGTCACATATTGTATGCACTAATTTTATGTTGGTTCCATCAAACAAAGGAACAAAACAAATCTTTGGACTTTGATCCTTCTTTTGATAACTCGTTAACAAATTCGGTCATCTTCGTAGTCGTTTCTATCTTTAGTAAAACGAAATTTCGTAAAATGAAAACATTCAATAAATCACAGTTTCGTTAATTTCATGACAAAAAAAATAAATAGCACAAAAATTGTTTCTTACAATAAATCAATGAAAATGTGTTTTTAGCAATAAATTATGATTACTTACATTCGTTCAATAAGTCCATTTTCATCTAATGCATGAGGCAAATCCCTTTTGTTGCCCAAAACTAAAACTGGAATGCCTGCTAATTGGGGCTTATCTAATAAATTGTGCAATTCATTTCTACTGGCTTCTATTTTATCTGAGTCCGCAGCATCAACCATGTACCTAAAACGCTCTTACAATTAACAAAACAAACTCACCTACACAAAGCAATCGAACACTTACACAATGGCATTGACGCCTCGGCAATACCTCTCCCACATGGACCTAAACCTGGGCTGACCGCCGATATCCCAAACCTTGATGGTAACATTACCCTTTGTGATCTTCCTCATGTTGAAGCCAACAGTGGGAATCATGTCCTCACTGAATTGACCAGACTGCAAGTAAAAAAACATAAAGTAAACAAAGAAAAATTCAGCTTGTGCATTAATTGATAATATTAATTTTTTGGTAGATAAATTTACAGATTTAGATACTTACAGCAATAACATTGACGAATGTTGTTTTTCCACTGTACTGCAGACCAACCAGTGTCAACTCCATCTCCTCTTTCCAGAAGAGACTTCGGAACCAATCCAGTATTCTGTTCATTAGGGCCAACATCTTTGCTGCTGCTTAAGACAATGTGCGAAGAACTGGAGGACACCGAAAATACTCTCTGGATAAGAACAATTACACTCACAGCAGAATTATATTTATCTTGGAGATGACATTTAGAATAAACCCAACCCGCTTTTGCTGCTTCTGTCAGATCTGACAGATCCCCTTCTTCATGATTCACCGCAAAAGCACGTTGGCCAACGTGAAGAAAAGATCAAATTTGATTGGTGGATCAGTTCAAAATCCATAGTTTTCTATAGTCTAAAGATTTTATAAATAATTTACTGCTATTTTCATATTTAATTTATCGTTATGATCAACGTGAAAAAACTATAAAACATTACAAAGTAATATCAGTTGCAAGTTTACTGTTATCTTCATAACCAACAACACAATACAAGTTTATAGTTGCTATTTCAAAGTTGGTACACCTATCAATAATTCATTTGTTAATACAAGTATAGTGTGTATACAACTTTATGCATAAAAAATTCAGATTTAAACTAATTAATAAAGAAAATCAGGGCAACTGCGATTATATTCCAAGTTTTTATATATGGCCCATTAGCTCAGTTGGTTAGAGCGTCGTGCTAATAACGCGAAGGTCGCGGGTTCGATCCCCTCATGGGCCAAATATATGCTTTTAACACTATCAAACAAAAATAAAGCAATAGAAAACAATATAGCAAAGAAATATCTTAAATTTATTTTTCATTTTGCTTAAATTACAGCAGAATGGATGAAACTTCTACAATTTTTGAATATTTGTTACATTCCCCAAACATTCAGCTTTCATATGCATCTTTTGGATTCATTCTATCTATTATAGTTTTCGAGAAAATCAATGAAATGTGAAAACACTGCGTTATTTCATATTTGAACACGAATTACAGCCATACGGATAAAACCACAGTAATATATTAATACTTGCAACATTCCCCAAACATTCAGCTTTCATATGCATCTTTTGGATTTATTCTATGTATTATACTTTTCGAGAAAATCAATGAAATGTGAAAACACTGCGTTATTTCATATTTGAACACGAATTACAGCCATACGGATAAAACCACAGTAATATATTAATACTTGCTACATTCCCCAAACATTCAGCTTTCATATGCATCTTTTGGATTTATTCTATGTATTATAGTTTTCGAGTAAATCATTTGAAATGTGAAAACACTGCTTTTTCGAGCGTTACTTCAATTTTGAACACGAATTACAGCCAAACGGCTAAAACCACAGTAATATATCGATTCTTGCTAGATTCCTCAAACATTCAGCTTTCATATGCATCTTTTGGATTCATTCTATGTATTATAGTTTTCGAGTAAATCAATGAAATGTAAAAACACTGCTTTTTCGAGCATTTTTTCAATTTTGAACACGAATTACAGCCAAACGGCTAAAACCACAGTAATATATCGATACTTGCTAGATTCCTCAAACATTCAGCTTTCATATGCATCTTTTGCATTCATACTATGTATTATACTTTTCGAGAAAATGAATGAAATGTAAAAAGACTGCTTTATTGCGTTATTTCTAATTTGAACGCGTATTACAGCCATACGGATAAAATCACAGTAATATATGAATACTTGCTACATTCCCCAAACATTCAGCTTTCATATGCATCTTTTAGATTCATTCTATGTATTATAGTTTTCGAGTAAATCAATGAAATGTAAAAACACTGCTTTTTCGAGCATTCTTTCAACTTTGAACACGAATTACAGCCAAATGGCTAAAACCACAGTAATATATCTGTACTTGCTACATTCCCCAAACATTCAGATTTCATATGCATCTTTTGGATTCATTCTATGTTTTATAGTTTTCGAGAAAATCAATGATATGTGAAAAGACTGCTTTTGGATCGTTATTTTTTAATTTTTTCAAATTTGAACGCGAATTACAGCCATAATTATGAAACCACAGTAATATATCAATACTTGCTGCATTCCCCAAACATTCAGCTTTTATAAGCATCTTTTGGATTCATTCTATCTATTCTAGTTTTTGAGAAATCACTAANNGATATAATAAAAGTTAAGAAATATGAGAAAAGTTTAAATTTTTTCGTAAATTTCAGGACCTTTTAAATTAGAAATATCGATGCTAAAATTTATTTCTGTGAGCTCAATCGAAAAGTGACACTTTTCAGTTTACGATTCTTGTTGAATTATGCAATTATTCTGCGTGGTTATCCTGAAATTAATGAAAACGTGAAAGTCCTTTCAGCAATGGTATCAATAAGCTATTAGTGTGCTCGTTGGAAAGATGAGAGTTTTATCTTTAATTTGAGTATTAGATCATCAAATTAGCTTAAGTAGTTCTCAGACAATTCAAAAATATACGCACACCATAAATCTGTAATTGTATTCGTTAAAAAGGACATAGTTTTATCTTTACGACACGTTTTAAATAATCTAAGTATCATGATTGGTTAGTGAGTAATGATATCAAACGAATCGATATGTTCTCTGCGTTTATTTTATAATGTATATACAAAAAGAACAGTTATGTGAAACGGACTAACGGACTAACTGTTACAATACAAACTCATCCAGTTGCACTTTTACTTCGGATAGAGACGCATCGCGTATCGAATACAGATAAACAACTAGTATGTTCAGCTCAAAGTGCGTTTCTCAGGCAAGGATGACCGGAAAGACAGCAATCGTGACCGGATGCAACACGGGAATCGGCAAGTTCACAGTCAAAGAGCTTTACCGTCGCGGCGCGAAAGTGATTATGGCCTGCAGGAACGTGGAGAAGGCCGAAGAAGCCATGAAAGACATCGAGGAGGAATGCCGAGGACAGAACGATCTGGGACAACTCCGAACTGTTAAATTGGACCTGAGCAGTCTTCAATCCGTTCGTTCGTGCGCCTCGCAGCTGAACGAAAGCGAGAGCACGATCGATCTTCTCATCAACAACGCAGGTGTCATGATGTGTCCGTTGACGAGAACAGAGGAAGGATTCGAAATGCAATTGGGAACGAATCATCTCGGACATTTCCTCTTCACGCTTCTGCTTCTACCGAAGATAGTCGAGAGTCGTCCTGCGAGGATCGTCAACCTTTCCTCGTCGGGTCACAAGCAGGGTCGGATGGTCTTCGACGATTTGAATTGGCAGAATAGAAGATACAGCGCGCTCGGCGCTTACGGACAGAGCAAACTGGCTAATATATTGTTTACCAAAGAGTTAGCGCGTCGTTTGGTCGAGGCCAAAGTTGATGGCGTGACGACGTACAGTCTTCATCCGGGCGTTATTAGCACGGATCTGGGAAGACATCTGACCTCTCCCATATACCAAGTAGCCAAGTTCTGCATGAAGACGATAGGTTTTTGGTACGTGAAGAATATAGAGCAGGGATCGCAGACAACATTGCATTGCGCTCTTGACGAAGAGGCGGCGAAAGAATCCGGATTGTATTACGACGACTGCAAACCAGTCAATCCTACGAGAGCCGCAGAGAATCCAGAAGATGCTCAACGCTTGTGGAAGGAGAGTCTCGAGTTGGTCGGATTAGATGAAAACTATAACCCGTTCAAAACACAGCAATAAATTCAATTACAATTGAAAAAGAAATTAATAATTTACTTTTATTGTACATTACATTTTTGTTCCGTCATTTAATAGTCATGGCCTTCGCGTGTTTAGAATTAATTTCATTAACTCAATCAATGAAACAATCAATATACATATGAAAAATAGAAGAATTATGGGAAAAAAAGCAGCGGAGTAGGAACAAGAGGGTATCAATCCAGGGACATTAGTGGGATATTTAAATTTGGGAAGAATATTTGGGTTTCGAGGTCGTACATATAAATTACAATAAAATGTTAAGTGTTTAATCATTTTTTTTTTCTGTTATCTAATCCATTTATACATAGAAAAACCTTAGTAGTAAACATTTGCAAAGAAATTGCTTCTAAAGTGCATTTTATAGTAAACAAATTACATAAATTATTATCAGGTAAGCCTGGAGTAAACAACTGAATACAATTTAATGTTGAGTCAACATATTGATTATTATACCTTTTTATTATCTGTAATTACACAATTTATTTATTTTTTTAATATTAAACAATTACAATTTAATAAAAATATAATTATATAATTGGTATTTTTTTATTGTATAAAATTTTATAAGATTTATCGTATTTTAGTAACATTTATATAATCAATGTTGGTGCAACTTAATTTATGAATTTATTGATTTACTTTGATTATAAAAAATGTGACTGAATAATTTAAATATACAATACAAATTTCTATCGAATGATTTCACACATAAAACTAACTTTGTATCAATCAAATCATTATTTAATTTTGTTTAAATTTAAAGATTTATTTACTTTTATATAATCAATTTTGGTACTACTTAAAATATAAAGTTATTTTAATTAAACTTGATTTACTTTAATTATAAAAAATGTGACTGATTAATTAAAATATACAATACAAATTTCCATCGAATGATTTCACACATAAAACTAACTTTGTATCAATCAAATCATTAGTTAATTTTGGTTAAATTTGAAGATTTATTTACTTTTATATAATCAATTTTGGCACTACTTAAAATATAAAGCTATTTTAATTAAACTTTATTTACTTTTATTATACAAATGTGACTGAATAATTGAAATATACAATACAAATTTCTATCGAATGATTTCCACATAAAACTAACTTTGTATCAATCAAAACATTATTTAATTTTGTTTAAATTTGAAGATTTAGTTACTTTTATGTAATCAATTTTGGTATTAACTATAATATAAAGCAATTTTAATTAAACTTTATTTACTTTGAAATTTACAAAAGAAATTTCTATCGAATGATTTGCATCCCATGTTTAAATTTGAAGATTTAGTTACTTTTATGTAATCAATTTTGGTACTACTTAAAATATAAAGTTATTTTAATTAAACTTGATTTACTTTAATTATAAAAAATGTGACTGATTAATTAAAATATACAATACAAATTTCCATCGAATGATTTCACACATAAAACTAACTTTGTATCAATCAAATCATTAGTTAATTTTGGTTAAATTTGAAGATTTAGTTACTTTTATGTAATTAATGTTGGTAATACTTAAAATATAAAGCTACTTTAATTAAACTTGATTTACTTTGATTATAAAAATAAGACTGAATATTTGAAAAATACAATAAAATCTTCCACATTTCCACATAAAACTAACTTTGTATCAATCAAATCATTATTTAATTTTGTTTAAATTTGAAGATTTAGTTACTTTTATATAATCAATTTTGGTAATACTTAAAATATAAAGTTATTTTAATTAAACTTGATTTACTTTGATTATAAAAAATGTGAATGAATAATTGAAAAATACAACAAAATCTTCAAACAAACAAAGTTTCTATCAATTAAAACATTGTTTATTTTTATTTAAATTTGAATATTTTATATTGTTTAGTAACTTTTATATAATTGATATAAGTAATCCTTCATTTATGAAATTAATGTTGTACTTGACTTAAACTAATTACAAATTTCTTATCCAACTTTCATCAAGAATCCTTAATGAAATCATTATGTTTTCATTAAAATTAATTAGATTAAATGTTTGTTAAAAAAAATATGAATTAAGTTTGGCTCCATCTCTGTATTATTCAAGTACTCAAACATTGAATATTTTTGTTACTGTAAATAGTAATTTTAAATGAAACATTTGTTAAACTTCTTGTAGTTATTATAATAAAGTGTAATTGCTTCTTTTTAATTAATATCTAACAGTTAAAAATGTAGTTGTTAATTGTATTTGCGTGGTGCCATCTGTGCTAAGGTTGTGAGAAGTTCAAGTATTTGAATTTGGCGCTCGCCGGATGTTTTCGTCGTCCGGATGTGGTGTCGCTAGTAGCCGAATGAACGGGAGGAAGTCGTCCATTTTCTCTTCGCGGTGACCGGTGCGGGAGCACATGTGCAAGATCAGCGCTTTCCTGAACTGATAAAACTCCAATAACAACTGCAGAACGCAGCGGTACAATTCGCTCAGTTTGAGTAACAGAAGTAGTAAATACACACAGATCAAACCATGAACACCGAAAAGCTGAAGAAGCTGCAGGCCCAAGTTAGGATCGGCGGCAAAGGCACACCGAGGCGCAAGAAGAAGGTAAAAATCATCATATTTATTAACTATTTACTTTTAATGTCGGGTTTTTGTTTAAGTTATTGTGATAAACTGTTTTTCCATTTACACGCTTTTTCCACCTGCTTTCCTGTTATTGCAATTGTCATGGTCGTACCTCCTCCATCTCTTTGACTATGCGGTTTTCCGGCTCAACTTTCATCCCGATTTTTATCAACCTAACCCCTAACTACAAGTTTCAACTTCAATTACTTTCTCAATACCAATTCTATACCCATTAGAAGATCTTCAGCAATGGAATTGTGGGTTTGGAAACACCTGAACCATGTGCTCAAAACATTCATATGCATGCACATTATCGAAGAGTTGATATCAAGGTGTAACTAAGGTCATGATCATGAGACCTGATTGTTTATACATTTATCGACTAATACAGTCAGAAGTTCATAACCTAATTGCTTTTTATCTATCAAGAATAACACAATCATTCTGATATTACAAAACTATTAACTTATTACATAAACCAATTGATTATCTATTTCTAACCTCACTGAAAATCTCTTATACATATCAATTTTTGATCAAGTTTTGAAAATATTTAAAAGTAATTATAGAAATAGTATAATGTTAATAAACAAACAAAATGAACTTTGTTTATTTATTTCATTCAAAAAACATAATTTTCTGAATTAGTTATGTTAATGAAAACAAACTTTAATAATATATTATTATTTTTGTCTCTAATCATTAATGTAAGTTGTAAATTTGTTAAAGTTGAGAAATGAATGAATTATATGTGTTAATAACACTTAACTTGCAGATTTAGATACTTTTCACTTAAAAGCTCATTACTGAATGTGTCATGTTATAATAATGAACTGTTAAAAGTGATTTATTTGCAATTATCTAATCAATGAGAATTTAAATGCAGAAATGTAAAGATATTTAACATCTCAAGTTGTTGATGTAATTTGCAGCTGTAAATTGAAATTACAACACGTTTTTTCTTTTCTAATTGAAAACTGAATTGGTTTCTGTGTAATCATTTGGAGATTTATTGTATCATTAGCAAAAAACTGTGGATAAATCAAGAGAATTATAGTTATAAAGTTTATATTATTCATGATATTTGTATTATTTGTTTGACCTAAATTGAACTTTTTGAATTATATTCCAAAGGGAAGGAATAGTTTCATAATTTATGTATTTGGAATTGTTAAATCCTGAATTTATTTTGTATTGAACTTCTTGGGTAATGGAGGAATTGGTTAAAAACCCTTGAAGGGACAGACATTTCTAGACCTAAATGGGGACAACTGAATCCATATCAATTGGTATGGATTCAGCATAAACATCTTTTGCTGTCCTTTTCTTGGACATTTTCTTAATAAATGTAATAATGCCTCGCTAAGCATGTTAAAAAGGTGGGACAAGTTATCTTATGTGGTTAACCAAACATCGTTTGAAGATATGATAAAGTAAAAGGCTAATACTAATTTTTGTTGTTGTTAATTTAAGGTTGTCCACTCTACACAAGCCACAGATGAGAAGAAACTGCAGTCTTCGCTGAAGAAGCTGTCAGTGAACACCATCCCCGGCATCGAAGAGGTGAACATGATCAAGGACGACGGCACCGTCATCCACTTCAACAACCCAAAGACCCAAGCCTCTTTGGCCGCGAACACCTTCGCGATCACTGGCCACGGTGAGAACAAACAGATCACCGAGATGCTCCCCGGCATCCTCAACCAGCTAGGACCAGAGGGTCTGACCCAGTTGAAGAGGCTCGCCAGTTCAGTAGCCAGCGCCGGCGTTGGTAAAATGGTGCCCGAAGACGAGGAGGACGTCCCGGACCTAGTCGAGAACTTTGACGAAGCCTCCAAACAGGAAGTTGTCAAGATCGAGGCGGCAGCTGAAGAAAAGAAAATCGAGTAGATTTTAAGTTTTTTTTTTATATACTACATATACCTACTACTACTACTACTTTAAATATGCAGAGAGTCCTCCACATACACACGACACACACAAAAAAACAACAACAACCTACAGACAACAATAAAATAAGTATTTCTCGAAAAAAAAAACAACAAGATCAACCACAACAACACTCTTTTTCTTTTCTACTTTTTAAAATAATTGAAAACGAATATCGGGTTTTATTCTTTTGATTGAAGATCGAGAGAAGGAAAAAAAATTGCAGAAAACCAATTGTTTTCTGTTGTTACTAATTATTAGCGTTGTATAGAATATTTCGTAAGAAATATAACGTATCGTATATATATATATTAACATTAATATTCTATATTACAAAAAAGACTTGCGTTTTCTCCTCTCTTTATTATTATTATTTTTTGTTGTATTCTCTTCTTTTTGGGTTTTCTTCATGATCGTTCTTCATTTTGAAATTTTCATTCTTCATTATGTTTGTTTAGTTCATAAATCGAAATCTTAAACCAAATTTGTTGGCCAAAAAGAATGGAAAGCGGATGAAAAAGAAAAAGTAATTATAATGAGCGATTTGTAAATTGTTGTAAAATATTTTTTACAATGGATAAATAAAATAACAATTAATGAAGCATTTAATTGCATTCTTTATTTTATTGAAAAACAAATACACAATCTTAATTGAGAAGTTTCTAGTTTTTATGCATAATTATTATTTAGGTGTACATTTGGTTGCATAGGCTAATCGCAAAATTTGAATACAAGAAATATATTAAATTTAATTAGAAAGAAGACAAAACGTTATTTATCAATGAGAGATTTATGCAAATCGGTAATGTTATTTTATTAAAACCACGATTTGCATAAATATCTTGTGAAATTGTTAGATCAAAGAAATTATCCATTTTGGTTAGTATTTTCATAATCAACATTTTCCTAATAAAATTTAATTGGTAAAGTTTATCTTGAATACTCAGTAAATAAAATAAACATAAATAGTTGAATGTAGATGTCTATAACAGGGGTGGCCAAACTTTGGCTCGCGAGCCGCATGCGGCTCTTTAAGAGTCAAAACACAAATATTATATACATTTTATATTATGATTGAGATTTTTTTTTTTAATTTATTCAAAAAAGTTTTGCGGCCCTTGCTGCAAAAAATCTGGCCACCCCTGGTCTATAATACAAAATTTTGAAGTAACAAACAAACACTTAGATTTTGCTCTATATTAACGTAATAAGTAGATTACCAATTAAATTTAATTGTGATAATTAATCTTGAATCTTTAGTGAATGAAATGAGTGTAAATAGTTGTATTGTAGCTACATTGGTTTCTCCGTAATCTAACAAGTATTTTTTTTATTGTTATTTGACATATTTTAATAACTTAGATTTTGCTTTGTACTAAAACAGCGGGCATTTCCCAAATAAAATTTAACTGTGGAAATTAATCTTGAATGTTTAGTAATTAAAATGAGCGTAAATGGTTTGTTTCTAATGTGAAAATTATATATTGAATATTTGACTTGGTGAAAAACAACAAGTTCGATTTTGTTCTATATTAAGAAAAATAATAGTTTACCAATTACATCAATTGAAGGAAGTTAATGTTGAATATTTAGTGAATGAAATGAGTATAAATAATTGTATGTACCTACATTGGTTTCTTCGTAATCTAACAAGAATTTTTTTTATTGTTATTTGACATATTTTAGTCACTTAGATTTTGCTTAGTATTAAAATAGCCGGCATTTCCCAAATGAAATTTAACTGTGGGAATTAATCTTGAATGTTCAGTAAATAAAATGAGCGTAAATGGTTTAATATAGATACAATGGTTTGTTTCTAATGTGAAAATGAAATATTGATGATTTGACTTTGCGAAAAACAACAAGTTCGATTTTGTTCTATATTAAGAAAAATAATAGTTTACCAATTACATCAATTGAAGGAAGTTAATCTTGAATATTTAGTGAATAAATAGCGTATGAATAGTTTAATGTAGCTATATTGGTTTCTTCGCAATCTAACAAGTATTTTTTTTATTGTTATGTGACATACTTTAATCACTTAGATTTTGCTTTGTACTAAAAGAGCGGGCATTTCCCAAATAAAATTTAACTATGGGAATTAATCTTGAATGTTCAGTAAATAAAATGAGCGTAAATGGTTTAATATAGATGCAATGGTTTGTTTCTAATGTGAAAATGAAATATTGAAGATTTGACTTGGCGAAAAACAAGTACGATTTTGTTCTATATTAAGAAAAATAATAGTTTACCAATGATATCAATTGAAGGAAGTTAATCTAGAATATTTAGTGACTAAAGAGCGTATACATTGTTTCATGTAGCTACTTCGGTTTCTTTATAATAAAAGAAATCATTTTGCTTTTTGATAATTGACAGGTGGAAAAATGGTCACTTAGATTTTGCTCTGTATTTAAATAACCAGTAATTCCCAAATAAAATTTAAGTATGGGAATTAATCTTGAATGTTTAGTAAATAAAATGAGCGTAAATGATTTAATATAGATGCAATGGTTTGTTTATAATGTGAAAATGAATTATTGAAGATTTGACTTGGCGAAAAACAACAAGTTGGATTTTGTTCTGTATAAAGAAAAATAATACTTTACCAATTACATCAATTGAAGGAAGTTAATCTTGAATATTTAGTGAATAAATAGCGTATAAATAGTTTCATGTACCTACATTGGTTTCTTCGTAATCTAACAAGTATTTTTTTTTTATTGTTATGTGACATACTTTAATCACTTAGATTTTGCTTTGTACTAAAACAGCGTTCGATTCCCAAATAAAATATAAGTATGAGAATTAATCTTGAATGTTCAGTAAATAAAATGAGCATAAATGGTTTAATATAGATGCAATGGTTTGTTTCTAATGTGAATATGAAATATTGAAGATTTGACTTGGCGAAAAACAACAAGTTGGATTTTGTTCTATATTAAGAAAAATAGTAGTTTACCAATTACATCAATTGAAGGAAGTTAATCTTGAATATTTAGTGAATAAATAGCATATAAATAGTTTAATGTAGCTATATTGGTTTCTTCGCAATCTAACAAGTATTTTTTATTGTTATTTGACATATTTTTTAATCATTTAAATTTTGCTTTGTACTAAGACAACGGGCATTTCCCAAATAAAATTTAACTATGGGAATTAATCTTGAATGTTCAGTAAATAAAATGAACGTAAATGGTTTAATATAGATGCAATGGTTTGTTTCTAATGTGAAAATGAAATATTGAAGATTTGACTTGGCGTTGTTGTTGTTCGATTTTCTTCTATATTAAGAAAAATAATAGTTTACCAAATACATCAATTGATGGAAGTTAATCTTGAATATTTAGTGAATAAAGAGCGTATACATTGTTTCATGTAGCTACTTCGATTTTTTTATAATAGAACAAATCATTTTGCTTTTTGATAATTGACAGGTGGAAAAATAACCAGTAATTCCCAAATAAAATTTAAGTGTGGGAATTAATCTTGAATATCCCGAGAATCAGAGTCGTTCTTAGAGCTTTGAGGGCCCCGCAGCGAACGTTTTTACGTTTTTTTAGGTTCGAGTCAAAGGACATATAAATACATTGCATGTAACTACATTGGTTACTTGGTAATTCACTTGACAAGTAGTGTAAAAGTACATACGAAATGTCCAATTTCAATATTGAATTATATATATTTGCTTTTATTCAAATTTTTCACAAACTTCTTTATATCTTCTACACTTTTTAACAAATAATATATATAAAAAATATTCAATTAATAAAACCTTTCTTATATATATATATAGTATAGTGTGGACACATCAGGTTTCATAATCATCATCAGTGTTAAAGTTTCCATCGGTAAACCTATATAAACTCATAAATAAAAAATACGGGTTCTCACTTTTCTCTTGTTTTACTCGGCCCGGAAGAACGCGCGTGTTGTGCTCGAGGATGGGCATGGCCGGAGACCGTCAGTCTGTATAGGTGCGTCCGCACCATCACTTCCGCGCAAACATCATCATCGAAATGTACAAAAAAAAAATAATTAATATATAAAGGATGAACAAAAAAAAAGTGTGTGTGTGTGTGACTATGTAACAATCTTACGACAGTTGCGTATAATAATAATAATAATTTGATTGAACGACATGAAAACCAATAGTAAGAAAAAAAATAAATTGTATGTATATGTAATTATATATATATATATATGTAGGTGGATGAGAAAAAAGACACGACAACATTGCTTTCATAACTCGCATGCAGCAAATACCAAAAAAAAGACGTTTAATTTCAAAAACGAAATTGAACGAAAAGTATGTCGATAGTTTTCGGAAATTGACAACCAAGAACATATAATAATAATATGTATGTTACTAAAATTTAAGAAGAAAGAAAATCGATAAAAGTGCGCGTACAACGCTACTTTTCATTTTGTTTTTTTTTTTAATATAATTATATATATATATATTTCACATCTTCATGCATTGAATTTCTCGCAAAAAAAAAAAGAAACACTTTCGTAAAAACACCATGACTCTTTCTACCTACTACACCGAATTTCCGTCGTGGTTAATAACTTTTGCTTCATTAATAGTAATTGTAATAGTATATAATAATATATGATTAAGTCGAGTGTTTCAATGTAAGGGAAACGGCTCGAAATCAGCGAACAATAATGGTAAATACAAAAGAAAACGATGAATGAAGAATACAGCAACACAGCCCGCGAGTGGGTCTTAATGGTAAGTTCCACGATATTAGTATTCTTAGTGCATGTCATGATGTAAACATATGGATAATGATAATAAGATTTACGAATTGAAGCTAAAAAAAAAATAAGCGTACGTCAAAGCTGACGGTGCCTAAGTTTCGCTTGAGCTTTCCTAAGGAGCGTGTCGAAGGAGTCGTCCGGCGTTTGGGCGATTATCGTGCCGGTGATAGGGGACCAGTATCCTTGGTCGTCCTTGACGTTGTCGAGGTCGGCGTAGGTGGTCTGGCAGAAGAGACGACGTCCGCCGAAGCTGAGGTCGTAATGCGGCAGGTTGCTATCCTCGTTGCCTCTCTCCAAAGCCTCGTAAGCGTCCTCTTTGTGCTGGTACGTGACAAAACCGTAGTTGTCGGCGTTCCTTCGGAAATGAACGCTGACGTTCGTCACGGGCCCGAATCGCTGGAACCGCCTCTTCAGATCATCACGTGTCACGCTGTCTGCGATTCTTCCCACGTAAATAACCCTCCTTTCCTCCACTTCGAGCATCTGTTCTTGCTGTCTCCTGCGGACTGGGGACGGTGTGCTGCTTCGGCTGCGACTACTGCTCCTGCTTCTACTTCTACCGCGGCTGGAATATCTGCTGGAGGAGGAGGATGATGAGGACCGCGAGGAGCTTCGTGAGCTTCCGCTGCTGCTCGACGAACTAGATCTCCTCCTGCGCTTCGCGCAATTGCTACTGCTGTGGATGGTCTGCACGTGGGCGTTGCACAACTTGGGTCGCGGCCCGTTTTTATCTAAATAAACTATCGTTTTGTCCTCACCGTGTTCTACTTGCTTCGTTATCACAGGTTTCACTTTTGGCAAATGTTCAACTATGGAACTGATCAGGGAGTTCGGGGATATCTGGACTTGGGTGTTCAGCAGGATCTGCTCCAAGTGACCCCAAGACTCCTCCGTGTTCGTTCCGACACTAACTAACGTCTTCATAACCATGTTCTTCGGCGGCTTCACCTCTACCTCCTTAATCTCATTGACGTCGCACGTCTTCTTGACCTCATTGCCTCCATCCTTGTTGTTCTGTTGCGCCGTTATTAAATCCTGTGCCATCTTCATAAGCATCTCCTGATGGCGGAGACGACGCGCGTTCTCGTCCTCCTCGGGAGCGGGCGACGACGATCCACTGTTTCCTATGCTCTTGTTCCGTAGTCGCTTCTTGTATTCCTCCAAATTCAACTTCTTCTTGATCGTGTTGGTCTTCAACAACGAGACCATAAGCTTACCATCGGCGTTCTTCACCGTCGGTTGCGTGCGAAGGATGGAACGCTCGTCCTCCTCGCACGAGGAGAATCCGGAGTCCTTCCTAGGCGTCGACGAGCAGTAGTCGTGATCCAACTGTATGCTCTTAGTTTCCCTAACTACAATCTGCTGAGGTAGAATGCGTTTCTTGGCCGGAATGATCGGCGGTATAACTGTGATAGGCTTGCGCTTGCTGGACTGACGTATACGGTCGATCAATTCCGGAGGCAGTGCGTCTAAAATTTGCTTATGCTTAGATTGTTCTTTGGTCGGCGATGCAGGCTTCTCCTCCTTCACCACGACGACACTGCTCATCGATGTTCCGGTGGAGACCTTCTGCACCTTCTTCGGATTGCTCCTAATTTCAGCAATCTGCGGCTGCGGTTTCAGTGCTGGCGCTTCGCCGCTCCTGCTGCTCTTCAGACTCCTACCCGCATACTTCCTCGCCCTCTTCGGCGTCTTTATCGGCGATATCAACTTTATCCTGCCTTTGTTTGACGCCTTCATCTCTTCTATAATGCTGTTCACCTCTTCGGCTACAGGTATAGCCTGAGGTGGCGGCAGTGTCTGTTTCCTCTTGATTGGACTCGCAGCAACCGGCGACACCACCTTCTTACCTCTCGATTCCTGCAAGACATTTTCAGTATTGAACTCAACCTTCTCTGGTATAGAGATAACCGTTGGTTCACACAACTCTTCTGGCGGCAAATCGTTCACGACCGCCGGGAACGAATCCTCCAATGACGATGGAACCAACAGCTCAAGCGGAATTGCACCATCGTGACCTGAAATATAACATCCAACATTAAAACTAAAAACCTTCAACAAATTTTCATCATGAAACATCTTCAAAATAATTCTTATTGGAAAAAAAATAACATAAAATTAATACAAATTAGATTCATATTAATTATGCATTCCATTTGAACGAATCATAAATCTATGATTTTATTTCCAAGGAACAAATCTGATTCAATAATGACATACAAGATATGTACGTCACGATTACATAATAAAAAAAAATAGGATTGCATTCGTATACTAAAATCAATGCCAATGAGAGCGTATTCCATAATAGAAGCAGCTGATATGAGGAATCAAATTAAATTTCGAATAGTAAGGAAACGCAAGCTGCGCGCTTTCATTTCGCGTACGTAAGGTAAGGTCGGGAAAAGGAGCTGTTGTGAAAGTGTAGCAAATACAGACCGAATTGAAAAGTTGAAAAGGTTTTATGCAATATCTACATTCCGCGTGTTGAAAACCTACGGAGGAGAAGCGAAAGGCCGAAACACTTTAAAAACAAATTGCTCAGCCTTGATGGTGTGTGGTATACCGTTGAGGTCATTGGATCTATTCATTATTAAGTATGTCTGCGCGTAACAATCGGGGTTACCCAAAACAACTTGCAAAGCTTTAAATAAAACAAGTCTTAAAACTTAGCGACATTGAAAGTTTAAAGACACAATCAAGCATGAATAATTGAAATTAAAAGTGTAACTATTGAAGTACGAATTACATGATCGTACTGTATTTAAGTAGAGAAGAGAAAGCTTTGAATCTAAAAGAGAAGCGAAAGTTAACTTGTAGAAGAATTAGCATAACGTCCGCATTAATTAAAGATAATTATAAACCTTTCTTTCTTAGATTCAATTAAAAATAAGCATTCAGGATCAATAATAATAATAATCTATATGTATGTATTGCGGTGGCAATCGCAAGCCCGACCACCGAAATCCCGACAATCAAATCCCGACTATATCGAAATTTATAATAATTAAAGACATAATTATTATAAATTTCTACAATGACATTTTTATGGTAGTCGGGATTTTGACACAGCCGGGATTTCGAACGTCGTGATTTCAATAGACGGTCTTTCGGTTGTCGGGCTTGCGATATAGACCGATGTATTGATAACTGTTTTTGAATGCAATATTTTAATAATTTCCAAAAAAAAAAAACAACAAATAAATTGCTTTAAATAAAGCCGTTATGATTCCATTAAAAATGGTCCACGTGAAAGAGAAAGGTCGTTAAATTTGGTATCGAACGAACGGTACATTTAAAGTGCCAATGGCGAAGAAGGAATACAGTTACAGCTGTTTTCGAAGCTGCATAAGCAAGGTAGAAATCGGCATGGATCAAAACGTGCAGTTAACTTCACGTGCAAAATAACATCCAGATTCACATTCACCCAAAAAAAACCTCATTTTTTTGCTGTAGACAACAAATATTTATGAAAATCATCGACATATTAAAATTTAGCAGACTTAAATTTAGGATGAGATCACACATTTTATTACAGAGATAAGTAATGCAAATATGGGAAACCCACGTGGAACCAACACGTTGTATTCATTGTTAAAAAAAAATTCATACAACGTGCTCGAGCCAAAAACGGAAGATTTTACACAACATCTCAATCAGTCTTCTTTAAGCATTTCCTTAATCAAATCTTTGACGACTAAGCTTTTAATCATTCAATTAATTTTATATTAAAAAAAGTAATTTTTAAGATTATTAAATCAGAACTTTACTTTAGGAATTTATAGTTAAAAACACGTCATATTCGTGTCCTCCAAAAAAAATACTCGTAACTGTATCTAATTTTTTTTATATCTCAAGTAGTTTTTAAAGAAATATTCCTTATCCTTGATGAATATAATAATACTTAATTAATCCAATATTTTATCTACTTTTTCTATATTTTTCAATTTTTTTACAAAATAAAATTTATTTATAATCAATTCAAGATTATTTTATTAATGTGTTTCATTGATTGAATAATATATGGGAAATTCATTGAAATTAAACTGCTACGCATTGTGATTTATCGTTATTTTGTTGTGTTCCGGTTATGAAGATTATCGAAGCGAGAAGTTTACAAACAATGCGTTGTGAAGGAAATTTTAAAATAGAGAAAACTATTTATTATGAATGGATGAAACTTTGATATAAGTATTGAGTACAAGTTATGAAGATTACTTGATAATCGTCTGCTGATGTAAGATTTGAATGTTTACTTGATGTTATCAAGAAGTTGAAGAAACACGTGTTTGATGACATTTGTTTTGATAATCCTTTTTATGGTGTTATCAATTCGGTAGGTGTGTAATAAACAAAATTTATCGACTTACCAGTATTAAATATTGCTTCGGTCAGCAGAGAACCCGTCTGGTGTATCTCCAGATTGGTGTTCTCTGTGGCTTCGAATTGCTCGAGAAGACTGTTCAGGTCGCCGGCCTGAAGAACTGGATGGCTGATCACGTCGGAGATGGTCTCAACGTCCACGTTAATATCGTCCTCATCCTCGACGACAACTACTTCCTCTTCATCATCCTCGTCGTCCTCATCATCATCCGAAGAGCTGGAGGTATCGCTGTCGTTGGTCACGTACCGCATGGCCACCATGTCAATCCTCTTCCCGCCGAGACGTGGTGGAGCCGGCTCATCCACCTCCTCCTCCTCCCCCGTCACGTACTTGGTGATGTCGAATCCATTCGGCGAGATGAAATCCTCAGCAGCCAAGTCGACTTCTGCTTCCACAGTCACATCCTCAGACACCGTCTGCGATATTTCCAACCATACCGATTCATTGATTGTTTGTTTTTTTTTTTGTTTGTTTGTTGTTGCTTGCATTTAGTTGAGGCAACTCAACTCGCGTACAGATAATTTTGATCTACTCACGTCTATATTCACTAAATGCTGCCAATCGTTCATTATCTTGTTGAGGTCCTCCCTGGTGGACGGGGAGCTTGATAGTGGACAAAAGTTGTCCGGATTTCCCGAAACCGGTATGAGGCCGACATCTCCGTTGAGCCTAAACATAAAACAGAACTATGTCAGTATTCGTTCCTTTGAAATTCAACAATTTATATAAAAAAAATATATATATAAAATAGATAAGAAAATCCTTGATGGCCCATACGGTTCAACTGAAATAAATAAATAAGAGAAAAAAAAAAACGGGAGATGCGATTCATAAAAGTATGTTTCTCCCTTCAGATTGGCGGACTTACTCTCTTTCGTCATTGTCCCAATCCCAATCATACTGACTAATAATAGTGTTGTGAAGTCCATCGAGACTAAAGGAATCTTCACCGGTTGGGTCCTGAAATATTCCAGAAGTGAGTAAAACTGATGCGCATTGGGGTGGTTAAAAGTTAGATGTGCTGTACCAGAAAGTACGAAGAAAACTCCTCTTCTTTGTGGAAGTTTAAGAAACCAGCATCCATTTAGGAACGAATTTTATAGAATAGTTTAAGCAAAAAAAAGGTGTTCAATTTATTTGGGGGGGATGGTTGTTGTTGTTCTGCCTTGTGTGTGCAGTAATTGTTTTATTGTGATCCTATCTTTGCAGGGCTCCAGGCTAACTCGTAACTATCATGTCGGAGAGGGTTTTGTATATATTTGGGGGGGAAACACCTGGAAGAGAAATTGGTAGCATTAGTACGGTAACAAACGCGAAGGAAGAAGACGAATTCCATTGCGAATCGGAATGCGCCATGTGGATTAATAACCAAGAAAAAAAAGTATGGGTAAATTCGTGCACACATATCGTATGGATGGATGAGAGAAGAGAGACGTGGGTTTCTGTATCGTATATATATATATGTATTTATATTTGTTCGGAGGTGGCGGTTTTTCGCGGTTCTCGTCTTTGGGGTAGTTCCACGAGATAATTGTGGGGGGTTGGGCTCGTTGACCGGAGGAATCTTGATCCTAGCCTAGCATCATCCTCCATCGAGTGTGCGTGCGTGTGTGTTGTTGGATGTGTGTAAGCGGGCACATTTTTTGAGGTTATCCTCCCGCATGTCGCATATTTTCCTCTTTTCCGGCGCAAATACCGGATAATCCTTGACGACGTCTTCACTCACCGATGGTCTGTGGCCGGCCGCTGCTAAATCCAATCCGCTAATCCTCGAGAATCACTTTTTTCCGCACAGAAAACTCGAAGGAAACATCCACAGAATAACATGTGAGCAGCCAGCACTGTCTACATGCGTCAAACTTGCCCACGGGCCAACCCGATCCAAACTGTTGTTCATCGATCGCCACGCAGCGTTTGCGCGGCAAATTCAAAAATAAAAATATATATTACATATACGTATAAATCTTCTCACGACCCCTCTTCCTCAACACCAAACAGATGCATCTGCCTTAAATGCTAATCGATGGCAAACTCAGATTTTGCTCAAGTTTCCACGATAAAAAACGTTTATGTAACTCACTACATCCTTTATTCATTCATTCACTAATTTAATTCAAACCCTCATTCATTCATTAATCAAAATCAATTAGCAAAAAGCGCTCTAATCCACAAAATATTGAACATTTAGGTATTTAATAATAAACTAAAATTGAATTCTAACATAAACTGAAATTTTTACTGCGTCGTTCATTCATTAGATAATTTTGTTCATCAAATAATTAAATAACGAAATTAATACAATGAACATAAGCAGGAAGTACTCAAATTTCTAAATATTCAATAACAATAACATGTACATTCCTATTAAGATTAATAATATTTTTTTGATACTTTAAAATTTACGAAATATGACAAAATTATGAAGCAGATTGTCTTAAATTTAATTGTCAATACAAATAAGTAGTTGTCATTAAGTTTTTCTTCTAATTATCAAAGATTTAAACTATATAATGAACATAGAAGAAAAACACAACATTGAAGATGTGTTAAGTTTGGGAAACACTGATTTAAACGAATTATTTATTCATATTTTGTGGATTTGATTGCTAATATAAATTATATAACACGAACTTAGTCATGCAATTTTATTATAATTCATTACTTTTAACTAATTAATAACTTAATTTTAATTATCATTTTCTTCTAATTATCAAAGATTTAAACTATAAAATGATCATAGAAGAAAAATACAATATTGAAGATGTCTTAAGTTTCATATTTTGTGGATTTTGATTGCTAATATAAATTATATAATTCAAAGTTAGTACACGAATTTAGTCATGCAATTTTCTTATAATTAATTACTTTTAACTAATTAATAACTTAGAATATGAAATTTATTAATTAGTTTTGTTTTAATTAATAAATTTTAATCTATACATTCCTATTAAGTTTATTAATATTTTTAATTCAAATTAATTTATTTTTTAGATACTTTTATGTTTACAAAATCATGAATTATATCATAAAATTAATTGTCAATGAAAATTAGTAGTTCTAATTATTTTTTTCTTCTAATTATCAATGATTCAAACTATATAATGAACATAGAAGAAAAACACAATATTGAAGATGTGATAAGTTTGAGAAACACTGATCTAAGATAATTTTTTTATTAAAATTTTGTGGATTTGGTTGCTAATAGAGTTAGTTAGTAATACTAATTTAGTCATATAATTATGTGTGTTTATAAAATTATTAACTAATTACTAACTGAATGATCAATTTTATTTAATTTGTTTTGTTTTAGTTAATCAATTAAATTAATGTAAAAACAAATCTTTTTCTATCAAAACTGTACTAAAAGAAATAATAATTAAAAGACTTTTATTATTGCACAACTTGCGTTAAGCTTAGTTTTAGTACACAATACTATTAATGTTTCATGAATCATCATGTTGCTATTATTTGTCATTACATAACTTTGTTCAATCGCACGAAATCTATGAAGAAAATCGATAATAAATTATATTTTTCTTTGATAATATTAAGATTTATACTTTAGTTCTAAATTTTGATTGTTGTAAGTAAGATCAATATTTTGATTAATACGGAAACTAAGAAAATCAAGTGTGTACAACAAAAATAAACAAAAATGTCACTCGAATGACTGAAAACGATTGTTTTTTTTTTGTTCTTTTGCATAACTATGCTGAATCACATGAAATCTATGAAGAAAATTGTGTTTTTCTTTGGTAATATTAAAAATAAAATCTATAGCTTAGTTCTAATTTTTGATTGATGCATGTTCAATAATTTGATTAATACGGAAACTAATAAAAATCAAGCGTGTAAAACAAAAATGTCACTTGAATGTCTTAAAACGATTGTTTTTTTTTGTCCTATTGCATAACTATGCTGAATCACATGAAATCTATGAAGAAAATTGTGTTTTTTTTTGGTAATATTAAGATTTATACTTTACTTCTAAAATTTAATTGATATAAGTTCGATATTTTGATTAATATGGAAACTAATAAAAATCAAGCGTGTACAAAAAAAATAAACAAAAATGTCACTTGAATGACTTAAAACGATTGTTTTTTTTTGTTCTATTGCATAACTATGTTGAATCACATGAAATCTATGAAGAAAATTATGTTTTTCTTTGGTAATATTAAGATTTATATTTTAGTTCTAAATTTTGATTGATGTTAGCTCAATATTTTGATTAATACAGAAACTAAGAAAAATCAAGCGTGTAAAACAAAAATAAACAAAAATGTCACTTGAATGACTTAAAACGATTGTTTTTTTTTGTTCTTTTGCATAACTATGTCAAATCACATGAAATTTATGAAGAAAATTGTGTTTTTCTTTGGTAATATTAAGATTTATACTTTACTTCTAAATTTTAATTGACATAAGTTCGATATTTTGATTAATCCGGAAGCAAAAAAAAATCAAGCGTGTAAAACAAAAATAAATAAAAATGTCACTTGAATGACTGAAAACGATTGTTTTTGTTGTTCTATTGCATAACTGTCTTAAATCACATGAAATCTACGAAGAAAATCGATATTAAGTAATAATTTTGTCGGATTATTATTATTTAAAGACTTTTTTTCTATAATTTCTTATGTAAAATGTTTAATTAAACCCGGAAATGTAAAACTAAAATTATGTAAACTCTGAAACCTGAATATGTTAACTCTTACCTGAAAAAGCTCAAACATGTAAAACTCACTAAACAAACACTTATAATAACACTATGTTGATTCACTCTTTGCAAAAAAAAAATCTGGCGTTTGGGCCTTAAACTTGTATCGATGTACACAAACTTGAAGCGAACATTATTCTCTCAACACTGAAACTGCGACTGAAAAAAAAACACGATGCAGTTTTCCTCTTGTATGCATTTTTCTGTTCGGCTTTTATCGTGGGTCGCCAAATTGCCAGGTAGCCAATTCTTCGGAAAATCTGCCCCCAGATGCGCCCTTCCCATTGGTCGGGACCCTTATTTTTATGGAGGGTCAGGATCCGATTTAATTTCCCCGCCACAGAAAAAGGGAACCCTTCATACATCAGGTGCCCAACACATTACTGTTAAAATACAGATAAAATAGTTAATTTCAGATCAAACGTTGATTTTGATGCATTTTATGAACAAATTTATTAACAAATCAAGATTACTTTGTTATTTAACAATTGCTACTCGATCTTTAATGTTCGTAAACAGTGTTGTTTTTTGTTGTCATGGATAAACCAATTGTTTTGTACCATTTATAATAAATAAAATAAATGCAGTAACTATAGCAACTTTAAATTTTAGACAATTTACTTTAAAAATAGGTAAAAAGTAGACTTCTTCACTTTTCCGGTGAGAAATTTTAGTGTCAGTAAGAAATATCTACACTTGATAAGACTTGTTGGGTCTTGATAATCACCATTGTGTGTAAGAAGTAGGGCTGTATTATCAGTTTCCTTTGAGATTAACTTCTTCAGCTTAAGAAAGTTAAGGTGGAAGACAAACGAACTGTAAAAAAAGACATTTTTTTCTTGGTATTAGAAGGAATTGAAGATGGTCTTAAAGTGGACATCTGTTTCTATATATATTACAAAAAAATTGAAAGAAACGTGATTATAATGCTGCGGCCCAGAAACTGAAAAACCAGAACTTGAAGGTCGATCCAAAAATAAAAATAAGTTATTTTGATACCTCTTCTAAGATATACCGAAACTATTTCATATATTTTAATAACACAAATTATAAAAAAAAATCAGTGTTTGAAAAATACATATAAATTGTAGAAAATTTTGCTTTATCCTTACAAAAATGTACAAAAAATAAGAAACATGCGGGTTGTAAATATTTGAAATATTGACATTTTCACATTGTGTTTCAGAAAATTTCATGCGGGTAAATTAAGTTAATTAAAATTTTGGAGATAGATTTCAATGAAATACTGATATTCACTACACATCATATTGTATTATCATGATAATTCAAAGGTTTTGCTTTTATTTCAGTGATTTAGAAGATATTTTATAGATGTAATCATAAATCCATGCATATTAATTGGACCTAGGACATTACCCTGTGGTACTTCAAATTTAATTTTACTAAGTTTTATTTAAACGAAAATCACATATAACTTCAACATTTAATTGAAAGAATATCAAATTTGTGTGCTAATGCAAATTTAAATATCAATTTAAACAACATTACAGATCGACTTAAGAAAATTAATTAATTTAATTTTTTCTTTATTCTCTAAACGATTACATTTTAAATATCCTAATAACTTATGGAAAGTAATTAATGAACTATTGTGTATAGAAACTAAGATTAACTAGAAGAAATTATAATTTATGAGCGCGGAAGTTTAGTTGCATAACCAACAACGAATTGGATCATTCATATTTCATAAAATGCGAATTGGATTTTGTAATTGTGTAATCTTGTCACATTTATTATTATTACTTGTTTTTAGTTCTGTTATGTTAATTTTTTTTTCTGTGTATGTGTATTATTTATTTTTATTTTTTTTTGTAGAAGGTTAGCAGATAACCCTCCCACCTCAACGTGGTTATCAACCACGTGGTCGACAAATTCCGTCCATGTGTATTGGCGCTTTTTCATAGGTATTTGGTTACGTAACTGATATTAAGTTAATCGACGAATGAGCTTATCTCCATACCAACTGTCTCCATACCAACAACATTGTATTATTTATTAAATATTATCTATAGAAATTTTGATATAAAAAGTGTTTTATTTATAAAAAGACATAGATTTAACAATATTATTTTTTTAATTATAATATATTGTTGCATATTTTATAAGAATTTATATTTTGATTCAAGATTTCTGTAAAATTTCAGTAAAATATTTAGATTGAAAAATCTATTTAATTATTGAAACATTAATATTAAACTAAATACAGTTAATGTATAGATATTCAATAATTTATTTTATTAATTTAGTTCATTATGTATGTAAATATAATAACAAATCAATCTATAAAATGTTTTTTTTTCTTTATATAAAATAAAAGTATTTTTTTAATTTTATATTTTTTAATGTAAAAAAGCTTTGACTTTGAAATATAAATATAAATTTTATATAATAAATTTGCTTTGTAAAAATCAAATTATTTAATATTAATACAGAATTGAATAAAAAAAAATAATATAAACAAGTATATTTAGTTGCCTATGCTACACAATACAAATTATATAATTTTCGTTTAATTAGCCCTAATTATCTTATTAGACAACTTTTAATTGATGTTTATTGTTTCATCTTTAGTTTATTATTATAAAAAGCATAAAGTTTCGTAGATAATCATTATATAATATAAAATAATAAATTCTGTTTGAATTTTACAATTTGATTCTATTTTATTTTTAAATATTTGATAATTGCCTTCAAAAACTTTATAATTTGTTTAAGATTTATAAAAATAATAAAACAAATTAGATTTTTTTTAATCTTAGTTTTAAATTTCATAACAAATTATTTAGACATTGCAACAATTTCAATAAGAGTTCTATAAGTGATTTATTAAGTTATATTTTTGTAGTTTTTAAGGAATTAACTAATATGTAAAAATATTGGTGATGAATTCTAAATTTATTGTTCTATGTTCTACCAACTAAACAAAAGCTGTAAAAATCACAATAAGTTGCATACATTGTTTTTTCTTTACTTTAGCTTTATCTTAAATATGTTTAATTAGTTTGTGAAAATTAGATTTAGAAGCCGTTAGTTAGTGTAGTCACTACACATGTTGTTTTACCTAATCCCTGTAACTCAGGCTGGATTAGGTAAATCTTCAAGTAACAAAGGCCAAGTGAATTGTGGATGTGATAAGAGAAGAAGATATTTAATTAGTTCTTAAATAAATGTCTTCAAATATTTATTTTTTGAAATATTTCGAATTTTATAATTTCAAATTTGGAAATTCATTTCTTCAAAAGTTTCAAGAGTTACAATAATTGTTAAATGCGTCATTTATTCTTTATAGTTTTAGCTTTAAATTGTATATTTAGCTTTGATTCTAATATTTGTTAATTTAAAAAAAAGTAAATTTTTGAAGACACTTACTTCGAGAATATTCCTATTATTTAGAAATTAATTCCTCAAAATTTGTAACAGTTACAATTATTATTAAATATGTAATTTACTCACTATAGTTTTAGCTTTAAAATGTATATTTAGATTTGATTTTAACATTTGTCAATTATTAAAAAAGGGTAATTTTTGAAGACACTTACTTCGAGAATATTCCTATTATTTAGAAATTAATTCCTCAAAATTTGTAACAGTTACAATTATTGTTAAATATGTAATTTATTCTCTATAGTTTTAGCTTTAGATTGTATATTTAGCTTTGATTCTAATATTTGTTAATTTAAAAAAAGTAAATTTTTGAAAACACTTATTTTGAAAATATTTTTATTATTTAGAAATTAATTCCTTAAAATTTGTAACAGTTACAATAATTGTTAAATACGTCATTTATTCTTTATAGTTTTAGCTTTAAATTGTATATTTAGCTTTGATTCTAATAATTGTTAATTTAAAAAAAAAGTAAATTTTTGAAGACACTTACTTCGAGAATATTCCTATTATTTAGAAATTAATTCCTCAAAATTTGTAACAGTTACAATTATTATTAAATATGTAATTTACTCACTATAGTTTTAGTTTTAAAATGTATATTTAGATTTGATTATAACATTTGTCAATTATTAAAAAAGGGTAATTTTTGAAGACACTTACTTCGAGAATATTTCTATTATTTGGAAATTAATTCCTCAAAATTTGTAACAGTTACAATAATTGTTAAATACGTCATTTATTCTGTATTGTTTTAGCTTTAAATTGTATATTTAGCTGTGATTCTAATATTTGTTAATTACCAAAAAAATGTTATTTCTTGAAGATACTTACTTCGAGAATATTTTCATTATTTAGAAGTTAATTCCTTATAATTTGTAACAGTTACAATAATTATTAAATAAGTAATTTATTCACTATAGTTTTCACTATTAATTTCATAAATTCAAATTTAAAACTGTAAGAATTGCAAATAATGAACATACTCTTGCTACATCCTCTACAAACTTGTATTTATCATTTATTTATAGTTCGGATGTTTAACAGACGATGAAATTACAGAGACAAAAACGATACATTTATTATTGAAAGCTCAAGGATGTTTTTGTTATAATCTTAACTTGAATATGACATATTTTTCCAAAATTATATAAAATTATTTTAAATTACAACAAGATTTTCTGCATGAACGATTTTTCATGCAGTTTATAAATAATTTCCAAATCATCTTTACATTCTCAAATACTGCATAAAACTACAATTTTCAACATAAATACCTGAAAAATATCAAATAAATTTACGAAAATTTGCAAATAATCAATTTTATGTAAATATTCTATGTATAATGAAACTAAGAGATGTGTGAAACATCTTCGAGGTTAACTTGAATTTAGTGTTGGAATGATGGGTTTTCGAATTTGGTATTGAGTACGAGTTTCGCAACACAACCAGTATTTTTATACAAACAGCAAAAATAAGTAAAGATTCTTTGGCAAATCTTTGAATTACAAAATCGCGACGTTTCTTTTCATCCAAAAAAAAAAATCTCGCGCTTTGTTTGCTCAAAATGCAAAAGAAAAAACAGAGAGATGGAAAAAAAAAGACACAGGTAACACGTAATCACGTGACGTTCTCCCACCAAACGGTCGCAGGTAGAGGAGTCAGCGCGATCCGCACAAGAAATCAAACAGTCGCGACTCGTTAATTAGTTGGTAGAAGTTTGGAAGTTGACTTCCACGGAAAGTGCGTATCTCGAGTATTGAAAGTGCGTAAAGCGAATAGAGTTTTCAACCAAATTTCACCATCAAACCAAAATCCAAAAATATAAAAACAGGATTATACCTCAACGGTAAGTTTACAACTTTTCCTTCAAAGAATAAATCGCTTTTCGGCGCTGAAGAATCAACATAAAATTCAGTATTCCACGAAGACCGCAATTTGCTTTTTCAGGTACAAGAAAATGTTTCAAAGATCATACACAGATTTTCGTTATCCTTTTGTTAGGAAGTGGCAATAAACTGGATTTCTGTAACCGAACAAAAAAAAATTTTTGAGGTTTTTGAAACATTTTTTCATTTGTCCCAGACTTGTTTCTCGACAAAACTTGTAAATAATCATTAATAACGACAAGGTGCAAACGTGTAATTACGTTCTCTATTAAAACAAAATAATATGCAGATAACATAGTATTATAGGAAAAAAAGTGTTGATTTAAAAAAAATAAATTTTTGTTTTTCGTTTTCATTCTTACTTTAAAATTTGTGACAATGAAAAAAAATCAAGTAAACCAATTTAATTAAAATAAAAAGAAGTAAATTTTGTTGAAATCTTTAAAAGTTGAGTGAAAATCTAGTTTTAATGACTTTTAAACAACTTAGAAATCGTTTAATGACAATGACATTGACAGTTGCTATTATATTTCTAAAATGACGTCTTAATTGACATTGACACCATAATTATAGGTAACTGAAGAGACTTTTCTGTAATTAGTTTTCTTCTTTATAAAAATGTAATTAATTTTTAAGAAATTTATGATGCAAATTGGATAAATTATTATTTATTTAAGGAAAAGCTTCAATTTATATTGACTACTTGCGATTTTTACATAATTGTATATTCATTTTAGTTTTGAGATTTACTCGTTCTGATTTGAAGGTGATCAATAGGAAATATATGGTAAACAAGGACATATAGTTTGTACGTACATTAAGAAAAACATATTTTTATAAACAAACTAGTTTACATATTTTTTTGCAGCAAATTATTAAGTTGCAACGAATGAAAATAAACTAGTTTTAATGTAAAAATCATGTTAAGTTATTTAAAATTTCCTTGAAGATTTGCAACTATTCATTAATACTTAATCAATAAATTTACTTGAAGTTTTTTTTTTAAATATTAATTTTATGTTTTGAAAATGTCTCCTAATTTTCTTTGCATTTGCTTAATGGACATAAAATGTTCTTCGTATAAAACTATAAGATTGACATTATATAACTGTCAAATAAAACTTGACATAACCTCAACAGAAATGAAATGACAGCACATCAAAACAGTAACGCTTCTTTTATGACACTACTAAATTTTATTGGAATCTATGACGTACGAAATTGTTTATTTAAGCGATTTGCGTATTTAACGTAAAAATATACCAATTAATTTCTTCCTTTTTATTTCTCTTCATGAAATAAAAGCAAACATATGAACGTCAACCAATTATATTTAAACGTTTGCAATAAAATAAAATATTTTTTTTTTACACTTTTCTTCGTATTATTTTTAAATAAATAATGGTTTACCTAATGCATCATAACTCACAGAAGAGAACTTTGATCTGCTGTTATTCATTGTTCATTCCCACTTCGTGCGTAGCTTTTTTAAAACGACACATAAATCTGTAGAAAAATTCATTAATTGTGCAATTACTTTGACAAATTGTCCATGAAAAGAATAAAAATGATTTTAAATATGACTGAAAAAAAAACTATAATTAAAAGTTATTAAAAAAAAACAAATTTGTTTTGTTGAGAAAAACATTTGTTTCGATCGGGTGTTCTCCAAGATAGTATACTTTGTCCTAAACTTTAAACTTATGACAGATTATATAACAAAAATGTAATTAATTATGTTAAATGATAGATTTTAAGAGAAATATTCTTTAACTTTTTTATATTTTGAGTGTAAAATTCTGAGAATTTAAGTAACATTAATATTGCTTTTAGCACCTTGCATCTAATTTATTGAAAACGATCGAAGAAAACAGTTATTTATTGTATACCAAAACATGCAATGAATGGAATCATCAACGATAATAAACATTTAGTAATAAAATATAAAGAAAAGTTAGAATTTAACAAAAATCATCATTTTTTTTAAGATTTTTGAAATTTCATTATTTGTAATTTAATAAATTTACGTTTTTTATGTTAATAAAATTTCTATTTCCATTAAAAGCAGAAAATTCCAATTTATTTCAAAGAATTTTTGTCATGCAATTTATTTCTGAAGACTTTCTTTTTCAACGTAATTTAAATGTAAAGTTAAAACACAATTAGCAATCATTAAAAATCGATGTTTTTGAAAAATGAAATCACTTGTGTTAAGTATTTTGCAAACGAGTTGGGTATTGCAACAAATTAGTAACTAACCATGGTCAAATGATTGAAAGATGAATCGGACTTTCCTAAAAAAACACTACATAATCTTGTATATTAACTTGGAGAATGTTATGATCTGAAATGATGAAATGTGTATGCTAAAATGTGAATCATGCGCGTTTCGTAATGATTGCACTATGTATTAAATTATATAATAACATGCATCTACTTGCAGCTAAATCTTTAGTAAAAAAAAATCTTATATTTCTTGTACAAACTCAGTCATTTTTTTGTCTCTTTATATAATCGTTTCATTAATAAATCTGTAAATATATAAGGAGAAAAATAATAATGATAGGTAATATTTGGATAATGTAAACAAAAAATAATAATTTTGATTGTAAACAAAAATTTCGAAAATTAAAAAAAAATTCTTCATTGGAAAACGTTAAAAATCTGCGTAAAATAATATTAAAAATTATATACCGAAATCCCGTCTATCGAAATCCCGACAATCAAAATCCCGACAATCAAAATCCCGACTATATTGAAATCCCGTTAGTTATAAATTTCTACAATAACATTTTTATGGTAGTCAGGATTTCGATATAGTCGGGATTTTAATTGTCGGGAGTATGGTAGTCGGGATTTCGATACAGTCGGGATTTCGAACGTCGGGATTTCAATAGACGGTCTTTCGGTTGTCGGGCTTGCGATATAGACCCAATTAGAGAATATTTACGTGAATATTTTAATAACTTAAGTCTGTATTCAAAAAATTGAATGTAAAGAAATTTTGGAAAATTTTGAAGTTTTTTTTGAAATAACTTTACATAACTTTGTATGAAAGAAATATCAAAATAATGCATTGGAAAACTGTTAATTTACGTTTTATACAGGAAGCGCTAATATAATTGTATGCAAGCTGTGAACTTTTCATTTTCTACTAATTTTAGTCTGATGGAAAAAAAACGGTGTTTTTTTTTTTGTATTTTGCTATATAATACGTTGTGAACTTATGTAATTTATAATTGCGTCTTATTAGTTTATGTAAGAGGTTTATAAAGAGAAATTGAAATCAATTTTGAAATTGGATGCAATCATAGTTTTATTAATGTTTCAAAAAGAAAAAAGCGGAGAAGTGTTTGAAGCACGTCTGCATTCCATAAAGTCCGATTTTAGGATGCACGTTCCAATTGGTACGACGATATACGAAATCGTGTGTTTTGTAAATTGTGTGTGCAGTACGGATATATTATTATTACATTGCACGTCGTTGCTGCTGTTGCTGTTAATTCCTTAATATGAAAGTGAATATCGTGCAATTTCCAAACGTCCATATCTTGCGTGTCGTTTTGTAATAATCGTACGATTCTTATGCAAGCCGCAATTTATATTTATATTGATATTTAACAATAAACATGGTAAAATTGATTCTCTTGCATAAAACGTAAATAGGTCGTTCGATGAAATTTATATGTCACAGTTGAATTATTTCATTGCATTGCTTTTTATCTATATCGTCTTTAATCAACATTTTGTTACTTTCGTAAAATGAAACCTACTTCTAAATCAGAGGTTCTCAAACTTTTTTGTGTCGTAGACCCCTTGCCATGTTTTTCGGTTTTGGGTAGACCCCCTACTTACCTGATATAGATTTTTTGTAAATTTATTATTTATATTGGGACATCTTTATAATTATTAAGATCTTTGCTCTGAGACTGCGCGTATGCTTGTAACAAGATGATACTGGTATATCATTATGTGCTGGTTTTTACAAGTTCAAAATGTATTGCGACCACAAAACGAATGCCTACATCCTACAACTTACACAATTTTAGAAACATAAATAATATTTTTTAACTTCATAGGTACTTTTATAAATAATGTATATGTCTTTATATTATAAGATAATATAATGTAAGTAAATAGAGTAATAGTAAATAGTAAATCAGTGTATGTTGAGATCCACTATCGTGGACCCCCATTTTCATTTCATGGACCCCAATTTTTTTTTTCGCTGACGTAGACCCCTTGCAGGTTGTCATAGACCCCTGGGGGTCGATATAGACCACTTTGGGAATCACTGTTCTAATTGATAACAATTTTCGTAAAACAGGGATTTCTTGTTGTTGTTTTGTATTAGTATTGAATTGTAAACTATCTTTCAGTTTTGTTAAAATCAGTTTTTAGAAAAATCATTTTGTAAATTTCGTAAAATGAATTATTTTGAACGCGTGGTTAATGTAAAATTGTATTGAATTGTAAACTAATTATTGTAAAAATGATAATTTTCTAACAGTTGTAAAATCGTAAATTTCGTAAAATGAGAGCCCCTAATTGTTTTAGAAAATTTATTAAATTTTCATGAAATTTGGCCAAATTATGTTTTTGAAGATGTATTTACTTATAAACTAATATTCATTTTTGTAAATTGAAAATGTATAAAAAAACCGTTGTAAATTTCGTAATTAGGATTATTTCCGATGGTAAATCGTTCTCCGTCATGCTTTTATTTTGTTTTTGCTGTTTTTATTTTCTTTTCTTTCTGTCTTGGCCAAAAAAATTCAACTTATAGCCAGAGATGTTGGCAGGTTGTGAATGAATAATAAAAGTAAAAAAAAATAATCAAGAGGCCATTGCTAATGTAAAAATTGATTTTTTTATGAAATTGGGCTATGGGTTTTTTTGAAGTTGTATGTAATTGTAGATAAAAAAAAATGAAAAACGTTATAGATTTCGTAAACTGGGT